CAACGGGATCTCCTGTTAAGTAGCGCTCGTAGCAACAACAATTCCAAAATCCGAGTTAGACCTGATAAGTCTTTCGAAGATGGAATAAAAAGGGAGGAAGCATTAGTTGAACTAGAACCCCGTCGACAAAATGGTGGAGAAAATCTCCGGTTAGTAGGTTTTCGGATAGTCAGGTCTTGGAAGCGAATGCCACTAAGGCCTGTGTCGATAGGCCGTTCAACCTAGGAGTTTTACATGCTAACGCTCGTAGAATAAGAAATAAGTTTTATGAACTAGAAGCATTAGTGGACAGATTAAGGTCACTCATTATAGCAGTGACAGAAACTTGGTTAGTCCATGACTTAGACACTAGTCCAGAATTATCCGTATACCATTATCTAAGGAGTGATAGACATGGATTTAGAAAAGCAGGTGGCGTCCTGTTATATATAGCCAATAATATAAATATTCGCTCCTCTGCTAGCGAATCCCATGATAGCGGTGCTTGTGAAGTCATTAGCTCATGCTCAGTTTCATCTATCGCAACCCGATTGGCTTAGCTGATGACTTTATTTTTGAGCACATTCATCTTTGGATTTCAAATACCAGATACTTCATAATAGGAGACATTAATGCACCTGATATTAGTTGGACTGAGATGACCACGGAAGGATCTACAAACTCCTTTGACAGTAGGTTCCTGATAACAATAATGGAGCATGCATTAGTGCAGCATGTATCCCAACCCACACGTTTTGGTGCTAACCAAGGTTCTTCTCTGTTGGACTTGGTAATCACTCATGAGACTGAGGGTATTGTCATTCACGTTTAGAACTAGGGACATGTTATACGATCAGGTTACACCCCGTCCAAATGTATGGAAAGCTAACATGTCAGCCATTCATAAATACGCTGCTAAGACAGATTGGCTTGTAGATACTAGTTTATCAGTTGAAGAACCATGATCTATGTTTAAAGGTAAGTCTAGTTCAGTTGCGTCCTCGTTCATACCATACTTGGTACCGCGAAGACCGAATAAAAGTCCACCATTGATAAATAAACCAGTCAGGAAACTTCTTGGATGAAGGAAGAAGCACTGGAGTGTGTTCATCTCTACTGGCTTAGAACAATACAGATTCAGTTATTGTAAGATCAAGAATGTCTGTAAAGCGTTGATAAGTAAGGCTAGACGACTGTTTAAAAAACAATTGGTTAGGGATTCTAGATATAGTCCGAAACGGTTATTCTCGTGTATAAAAAGGCGAACTCAGAGAAGCGATGGAGTTTCATCACTTTCAGTACAAGAAAATCCGTTAATCTTGGCAGAAAATGATACCGAAAATGCTGAAGCTTAATCGGGATATTTCAGTAAAGTGTTTTCTATCGGTGATGAGGAACGACCAACGATTCATTATGATTGTGGCGGCTCGCTGACGGATCCTGATGGAAAAAGCCATTTGGATATCTGTTATTAACTATGTTGAAGTGCATAATCTTTTCTCCAGGGAACAACAGGGTTTTCGGATAGACCTATCTTGCTTGACAAATCTTCTCATTGCAAGCGAAGATCGGGCTGCTGCAAAAGATCGAAATGTTCCTGTGGATGTGATCTTCATAGACCTAAGTAAGGCCTTCGATAAGGTCTCCTATTCTGGTCTTAAATTCAAACTGCAACGTTTTGGAATCGATTATACAGTATAAGTAACTTTCTCCATGACAGGAGACAAATGATAAAGGTTAATGGAACTCCCTCCTCGTGGGCAGCTGTAGAAAGTTGAGTTCCCTAAGGCACAACCCTCGGTACTCTTCTCTTTTTACTTCATGTAAATGAACTACCAACTGAAGCAAAATCATCCGTTCTACTCTTCGCTGATGACATAAAAATTCGGAGACCCATACATAATATGTTGGATAGGATAGTAATACAGAATGATCTTAGGTCACTGGTGGCATGGTTGGACAAGTGGTCACTAGAAGTAAATCCTAATAAGAGTGTAGTGATGCAAATAAATAACTATGATGAATCGTATCACTTTACAATATGTGGATTCGTGCTACCCAAACTAAGAAACTATAAAGTTTTAGGAGTCATATTAAGCAATGAACTCAAAACCACTAGTCACTCTAAGGGTGCTGCTGCGAAATGCTATGGGCTATTATGGTCTATTCGTATGTCTTTCCAGTATTTAGATGATGAAGTTCTCGGATTATTATACCCGATTTACGTTCAGAAGATGGGATTCAAACAGTGAGTCCTTGTTCCAAGTATGAAGCAGAGGTACTGGAAAGAATCCAACGACGATGTACTAAGATGGTACAAGGTTTATCTATCCTATCTTACGAAGACAGACTGAGACACCAACTTATTTCTGTTATCTTATCGTAGAATACGGGGCGGTCTAATATTGGCTTATCATATACTGAACGATAACCTCGGTGTTAACATGTCTTATCTTTTACTTCCGTCTAGGACTGATCATTTGAGAGGACATTCGAAGAAAATTAAAAAAACGAGATCAAATCGTTTACGTCTGGAGTTTCCTTTTTCGCACTGAGTAGTGAATTACTGGAATTCCCTACCGGAACACGTAATATCAGCACCTTCCGTTGATATATTCAAGACGATATTGGACCTCCACAGTATTACAAACTGCAAGGATTAATATAGGTCGATAGACCTCATATCCTTATTACTGAAAACTGAGTCACATTTTGACCGTGTTAATTATTCGCTTAATGACCTTGACTGTTTTTATATTAGCGTTTGTGTGCATTACTTATCCTACTCATCCCGTGTCTCTAGTGTGTTTTTGTATGTTACACTTAATGAAATGGAGTTGGTACGATAATTAGAAGTGTTTGGATTAATCTACTAACTACGAACTCTTTAAATAACACAATTTAAGCCAGATAATCGTAGATGAGCACAAACAAAGGTATTTTATTTAGAGTTCTAAATAATAAGGCAATCAAGTACAAAGGAATTGCTAGTTCACACTAATACCACAGTTGGATCACTTGCCTTATTCTTTCCCTTTTCTTATTCCGAATGTCTGTCTTGACTAATGAATGCCTCCTTACCTATGTTTGCTTTCTGATTACATCAATCACATGAACTGCGTTAGCCTAGTTAATATGTGGAGTTATAAATAGAAGATTTATGCTCACAGCATGTTTGTACGTTCAAAGCGGAGTCAGATACCAGGCAACAGACATTTCGACCATAGAACTAATGCCTATGGTTAGAGCAACTATTTTTCAGTTACTTATAAAAATTAAACTTGATAAGTTGAGGAATATTGACTGATTGTACTCATCACCACACATATATATACATATATGTAGCAAGCTATTTGATAACGAGGGCCACTTGAGGCTTATTCGAAAACTTAGCTATAGTAAGAATGTTCGGAAATCACGATCGAATGGACTCAGGGTGATATTGCGTCTTTCTCATCCGGTGATCAATAACAATAACACTCTACCCAAACAAACGTTACCAGCCTCAGAAACTACTTTCAAGGATACTGGAATGTCACAGAAAAAAAGTTGCCAGAATGAAGACAAACCAATTAACCTATACATTGAAGGTGAGGCGGGTTTTCCAAGTAATTGCGTTTCTTAGTGTTGCATATTATCTTTCCAGGTTAATAGTCAATTTTCTATGGTGAATTATTCGCATTTGACTTCTTTTCTTGTGCTAAAGTAATACATTTTGTGTGCTTATCAACCGCCGTTAACGGTTTGCACATTAGCTGCAAGTGTCAATCAATGAAAATCACTTCTCTGACAATGAGTTGTTGATATTAAGTTGTCTTGTAAGTTCCAACTTCTGGTAGTTGGAGGTAAAGCACGACATATTTTTGCACTTTCCGACGTTCAAAGAATGATCTATAATACTCGTGTATTGCACGGATGTATATGTCCCCCAATCGTGTAAAATGTCCCCCTAAATAGGGAGATTGGGGTTATGTTGTGTAAAAATTGTCGTGTTCATTCTTCTCATAAGACTGACTTTGAGTTTAATCTTCAGCATTTGAGCTCAACTGATGCAGTTGGGTACCACTTTGAAAAGTTGCTGCAGCAATCTTTATGCTGATAATTCTCGTCTGAAGACTTATTTGTCAAATTTAGCTCACGGTCAACGATTTAATGAAGTTCTTGTGACAAAACTGGTCTTGGGTACTGCTGAATCCTTCGGTCACTTTCCTGGGATTTAGATTGGCTTCACATTTAGACCTTCAATTTACTACCACCAACTTGGAGGTTTAACTTCGTGGGTCGCTTGAAGTTAGACATTAACAACGTTGGATACCGGCTCTAGTGGTTAAGCGCTCGCCCGTGAGACTGACAGGTCCTGGATTCGAATCTTGCGTGGCGGGATTGTGGATACACACTGCTGAGGAGTCTCATGCTAGGACGCAACGGCCGTCAAGTGCTTCCAAGTTTTCCATGGTGTTCTAGCTTCAATTGACTCACGAATTCAACTATTAAATAAATGACAATTTCTGCTTCATTTCGGTTAGTTGCCAAATGCAATGTCGAGAGTGAAGTTTATTCTTACACTATTCTGGATGTACGAGGTCTGTGCTGACCGTCTTACAGTTACTCTTGCTTGGGAATCGAAGCAAATGCTACCTTTAGAGAAATAGTCGACTCTAGATTTCTGGAATTCACTATTTGTCCTATTATAATAAGTATATGAACTTTGATACCTATTGTCCACAAGAGTAGCTTGGTTATTAAAGAATCTAAGTGTTAGAAAAGGTCGCTGATGTTGATGTTTAAGTCTGTAGTTCATTGGTTGTATTTTGCATTTTATTTTTAAAAGGGAATTAAGTCTAAGGAGGCGTCCTTAACATTGGTGCTGGTGTCCAGCCATATTGTTGCATCATTCATATATATTCATCATATTCAAGCTATCTTTCTGTTCGACCACAGATATCTTAGAGATATTGCTCGCGTCTGTTGGGATCCACGGCAAAGCAACAGTGAGGTTAGACGCAGGGCATTAGGAATTTATGGTAAGTCAGTTGATGAGGTTGTAAATCTTCACCGACTGAGATGGTTAGGCCACGTGTTACGTGTGCACACTTTGCACATCTAGAGCGGTCGATGCCAGCTACTCAGTCTAAAGGCAGCAGGAGGTTAGGCCAATACACATTTATGGTCTCACTCGTTGCAGTTATTAGGTCATCAATTTTCAGTCAAAAGGTAGCAAACATCCTTATCACATTGGGGGTTTGTCGGAGTCATTTATGTGAAAACTAAACCTTAAAAAGTCATAAAACTTAAAATGGCAACATTTATGCAAGAAAAAAATGAATAAACTTCGGCTAAGATGCCTACAGCTAAAGTATAATGTGTGGGTTTTGGTTCGAAAAGTGCAATTAAAAGTGAATTAACACTGCGTGAAACTCGTCACTCCTTTCATTTGAAGTCGCACTTGTTACACCATAGATTTTCAGTGACTCACTTTCCCACCACCTAAGCGAATTCATGGACGTTAGAAATTTCATCTTTCCCAGTTTGCATCACTAAAAGTCAGGAAGTACTAGACAACTGTTTCATCTAGCACGGGACTCCACAACAGTTCGCACCGCCATCCAAAATGGGACCGTACTCAGGACCGTTGCGGCGAGTGTTTAACCTTTAAGCGCATCGTGTGGTTTATGTTTTAAATGTGTCCTCATAAATTGTATATTCTTGATGAATGGAAACATAAGATATTCATTTATAAATGGTGATTAAAAATGTTGAGTGTTCATACGAGTTCATTTCTAAACTAACAGCAAAATAAAACAGGTTAGAGGGTTCTGAGGAAAAGGGCAGAAAACCCTAATTAATTAACCCGTTTCGACATACGTGCTTCATTCTATGAAAGTGGGTTTTCGTTTTGTATTCTGTGTTTTAGTAGCAACCAAATCTTTCAGGAAATGTGACCATACTTCTGCAATAAATCTTGGACGTTAGCAGACTCTTCATGGTCGCATTAAATACCCTATTGTAAGATAAAAATAATGGGATTCTTTTTCTCCCAATTCTCCTAACGACTTCGTTTGGAAGTTTGGGGGTTCTGTTTGTCGCGCTCACGATGGTTTCATGATTCGACTTCGGTTGCATGCATCGTTTTGTCAAAGTCGTATTACGAAAACGACAGTAAGAATTAATGACACTTATTGGAACACAAAACTCGTAATTTCGAGTTTTTTTGTGATCAGTTACTAATTCAATAAGTTGGACTGTGCAAACTTAAAGATTCTATAAAGTTTTATCAATAAACATCGAGCTCCGTTATAATTTTCATTGTTGCACTTTGATTTATAATAACGGCTGCGTAAGAACTCGGAAGGATAGGGACACACGTCGTTGCCTTTTTGTCGTTTCTGCCTACGCTCCCACTGACTGCAGCTCAGATGAAGTGAAAGATGAATTTTACAGAAAGCTTCCGAACTTCTTCAGAAAGCTAAACGCTCAGACATAGTACTCGTAGCAGGTGATTTTAATGCTCAGATAGGTAGTTTAAACCAAACAGAAAGGCATTTAGGTGGATATTTTAGTATTCCGACACAGCGAACAGATAATGGTGATCGTCTGCTGCAGCTATGCTCAGACAATCGTTTATTTTTAGCAAACACAAATTTTAAGCATAAGGAGAGACATCGTCTAACATGGCGACCCCCTACACCAAACCAACGATGGACTCAAATAGACCATATTGCCATCAGTCATCGTTGGAGAGGGTCGGTAGAAGATTGTCGCTCATTCTGGAGTACCTGCTTGGACTCCGACCATGCCCTAATACGGGCACGCATCTGCTTGCGCCTCACTGGACGCAAAAAAGCCACATTAAAAAGACCCGTTAGAACTGAGTTGAGTAACGAGAAAACCAAAAGTAGGTTCCAGGAACAACTGAGGTCACACTTAGGTAGTTGTGAAGACGAGGCTGACCCAGATGTTGCTTGGAAGGGCATACAAGCAGCTGTGGAAACAGCAGTGACATCTATTAGTGACTTAAACCACAGAGTTACAAGGAACCAGTGGATTTCTTCAAGGTCTGTCACACTGATGGATTCTCGCAAACTCGTCCCATCAGGTTCTGAACATGATGAAGAGCGACAACAAATCAGATCTAGGTTAAGAAAAAGTCTAAGGAACGACCGTGAGCAGTGGTGGGTAACGAAAGCAAAAGAGATGGAAAAGGCGGCGACTATAGGGAACACAAGACAGCTTTACAGACTAATAAAAGAAACTGGAATTAATAAGTCAAGTGTAAGTGAGATTATTTCGGAAAAAGATAATACTCTCATCTGCTCCCAGTCCAGACGTTTAGAACGATGGGCGGAACATTTTAGAGAACAGTTCAGCTGGCCTTCAGCTACTCTACAACTACCCTCCATTCCCAGACAATGTGAATGGAACATTGAAGTAGGTCCCCCAACTCTTGCTGAAGTTCGAAAGGCTATAGTTAATCTGAAACGAGGAAGGGCAGCTGGTCCAGATGGATTGGCTCCAGAGGTCTTTAAGGATGGTGGTCCAATTTTAGCGATTAGGTTGACTAATATTTTAGCTAAGATCTGGGAATTAGACGTTATCCCATCTGACTGGTCGCAATCACTTATCGTCCCAATATATAAGAAAGGGTCAAAATCATCCTGTGACAACCACAGAGGGATTAGTTTAACAAACATAGTATCTAAAATACTGGCCTCGATAATTATCAAACGCCTAACTAAGACTCGTGAACTACAAACACGAGAGAACCAAGCTGGCTTTAGACCTGGTCGTGGCTGCATCGACCACATATTCACCATTCGTCAGGTTCTAGAACACAGGCATACCTATCGGCGTCCGACGATGGTGGTCTTTCTTGACTTAAAAGCAGCATTTGACTCTGTAGACCGCGAGACTCTGTGGCAGTGTCTGTCATTGAAAGGCGTACCTCAGAAGTACATAAACCTTGTGAAGGCTCTTTACTCGAACACTACTAGTCGAGTCAGGGCTTATGGCGAACTGTCATCTACTTTTGCAACCTCAAGTGGTGTCCGTCAAGGCTGCCCACTTTCTCCATTTTTGTTTAACTTCATCATAGACCTATTGATGGAAATAACACTCTCGTCGACTGAATTCTCGGGTATTGATCTCCTTCCAGGAGGTCCACTTATCGACTTAGAATACGCAGATGACATAGTCCTGTTTGGTGAAGACGCTGACAAAATGCAGAGTCTTCTGGTAGCACTAAGCAACAATGCCAGAATGTTTGGGATGCGCTTCTCTCCCTCTAAATGCAAGTTGTTGCTTCAGGACTGGTCTGCGTCAACACCTGAACTAAGGATAGGGAGTGAAGTAGTCGAACGAGTTGACAACTTCACTTATCTTGGAAGTCTGATCAGCCCTAATGGGTTGGTGTCTGACGAAATCTCAGCACGGATTCGTAAAGCTCGTTTGGCTTTTGCCAACTTACGTCACCTTTGGCGGAGGCGAGATATCCGTCTATCAATAAAAGGACGAGTATACTGCGCGGCAGTCCGTTCTGTTTTAATTTACGGCAGCGAAACATGGCCTTTAAGAGTAGAAGACACCCGTAAGCTACTAGTATTTGACCACAGATGCCTTAGAAATATTGCTGGCATCTGCTGGGATCACCGGGTAAGTAATAGTGAGGTTAGACGCAGGGTATTAGGGAATGATGGTAAATCAGTTGATGAGGTTATGAATCTTCATCGACTGAGATGGTTGGGCCACGTATTACGTATGCCTGAACACCGATTACCACGACGTGCAATGCTAACCGGTGTAGGGGATGGTTGGAAAAAAGTTAGGGGCGGCCAAACCAAAACGTGGCATCAGTGCTTGAAGTCACTAACTTCTAGTCTGAGCCATGTTGGTAGATGCAGACTACTTGGTTGGGGTCCGCGTGACTTTCGTAACCAATGGTTGGAGACTCTTGGTGACATGGCTCAGAATCGATCACAATGGCGTCGGTGTATACACTCCCTGTCTTCCCTTAAACTAAGAGATTAAAATCACTTCATACCTTTCTTTCTACGAACTAATTCTTCCTTCCTATACTATATCCTTATTGCAACCTTTGACCTAACCACTCCTATGAATCCGGTGTTCATCTTGTTGTGCTAATGAGGTATGGCAACCTGGACCGATGCACATATGTGCCTGGTCCTACGTTGTAGCTGACTGACTGACTGACTGATTTATAATAATACCCAAACATAATTTACTCGAAAATCTAAATCATGAATTGTTACTCACTTTTATAAACAAATTTAGTTTTTTGTGCACACTTATGATTATTAACTATAATTTCAGATTTTTAGTGTCTCACGTCTTATGGGATCACTATCATTGGGTTATTATCCTTCTTGTGATGTGGTAGCGACGGCAACATCTGGGTCAGCTTCTACAGATGATCGACAACAAAATCTTATTTATCCATGTATTAAGATGTAAGTTAACCCTTCTGTCATTAATCAAACGATTTATAGAATGAGCATCACTGGATTCGATCCTGAACGGTATAAAGTCATCAAGGGTGAATATACACCACTTGCATGTTATGGTGAATTACGAATTAATTATTGTATCACACGTGATATCCCTTTCCTATCAAATTCATTTATTACAAATTGGTCTCAAACACAAGTTAATCTTGACAGACAATTGTATGACAAACGATACAACTGTAGATTTGTTTTCTAGATTTAATGAAGCCTTTGATTTACCCTTACCATATAATGCCTTGTACGACTATAATGGAATTTGTTTTGTCCTGTCATCTACGTATACAGATAAAAAGGTATGCATGAACAGTTAATAGCCGGTGCAAACATGAAATTATATAATTCTAAAAAGTAAGTTAATAGCAACTACCATTTACCTACAATTACCGTATTATGTGAACTAAAATATATAAGCAAATCCTACTATTTTTGTACCCGTGTCTGACTGTGATATGACTGAACTGCAACATCATGTTTGTAATGTAAACGTTCGGTGTCACTATATTGAAACGTCAACTTGTAACACTGACTTCGGTGGGTCTTACGAATGTCGTCCCAGAAAATTCCTCGTCGTGCATTATTCGCCGACGTTGGGACTGGTTGGAAAAAGTGAAGAGGTGGTCAGTGTATGAAGTGGTGTCGTGGTATGAAAAAAAGCTGTACATGACTGACTTTTCGTCTTGCACGATTCCCTAGTTGGGTTCCTATAGATGGAGCAACAAAGTGGCTTGAGGCGCTATGACACATGGCTCAGAATAGAATCCACTGGCGATCCTGCTGTAACTTTCTCTTGCTTTCTTCATAAAAGTGAAAGTAGCTTCCTTAACTGAAAGAATTTATGGTTGTATTTTTCTTAACCGAACTGTTTTCCCACTATTATTATTATTATTATTATTATTATTATTATTATTATTATTATTATTATTATTATTATTATTACTTCATTCTCATACACTAATTTCTGTTCATTCTTTTTATTATACGCACTTTACATTCTATCTCTTCACAACCTCATTGTTATTGTGTAACTCATATGTATTTGTTACTCTTTTGTACCAATGTTTATGTGCTCAAATAAATAAAACTAGTCTGTCATATTAGTTCGCTGTACGATTGTAAATTTGATCAAGTTTTTATGATCAAAGTGAGTAAGGATTATTGCACTGTGACTAAGTTATTGATCTCAGTCTTATTACTGCCTGTTCGGTGGATCCAATCTAATCACCAAAACAAGGAATTCGAAAATTGAGTGCTCAAGGTGCCCCTCACTATCGAGTTAGGTGTTTGTATCTCTTCGGTGGTCATTATGCAAAACAGTTCCGATAATTATACTTCTTTCTCGACCTATAATGCGAACACTTACTCTATGGTCCGTCAACACTTCAACCATAACAGCGATTTCTACATCAGAAATCACTCCTTATATATCCACGCAATCGGTTGCGTTTAGGTATGTTTTAATTTTTTAGAAATTGATATCTCATTTCACAAGTGAGAGATTTTAATCCCACTATTCTGATTTAATTGTTAATTGGCTAATTAGATGTAACCTAGTTATCAATTACATAATCGTGTATGCGACTTCAAGACAAAATTTGTGTGAAGATCATTAATAGTACCCAGCTGCCTAAACCGAAGTAATGGGAGCAAGATGTAGTTGTTTTCCTTTAATCAGCACACCGTTATACTATCTAGTTATGATATCTAGGAAATATGCCTCATAACCTACCAGTATTGTAGATTTGCCTAAATTGGATATCTAACATAAGAATCATAAGTGCTGTTATATAGCCACACTTTATATCGTTTACTTGGAAAACTGTTCACAAAAACAAATGCATGTATATATATATTAAACATTTAAATAATTTTCAGAGTATTTCGACAAGGAATTTACGAACTTGAATTACATCCTTTGGAGCCGTTAGGTGTTTATCGACTAGAGGATGTTGAAAAATTAGTGAGGGAACCTACTTTTGACTCAAAACCTTCGAATATGGATACCATGAATCAAATCCTTAAGGTTTGTGATAAAAGTGACTTTTGTTATTGGGTTTTCTCATCTTTTACTATGACAATAAAAAAGTATCTATAAGTACTTTCTTATTCTATTTTATTGGATGCAATGAGCTTTGATAGTATTACCTGACTTCTTGGTTTGAAATAGATTGAATCAGGGTTCGGAGAACTCTGACAGTTATGAAAACACTTGGCTCCCGACTAATAAATCACGGTTTCGAATCCCACTCTGGCTTCCGTGGGTTAAATAATATGTTAGTATCGCTAACTCTCACACACCAAGTGTAGCTCAAAGCCATGTACACAACCATGTACTTGGTGAATGACGAATGAACAAGTTGGAGTTCGAACCTACGGCTTAGTGATAAATATCCAGCTGTCTAAACCCCAGGTGGTGCTCTATAGCTAAACGGTTTCTGTTAGTATTCAAGGGCTTTTTAGCTTCCAAAGTTTCCGTTGCTCTTTAGTCTAATTTGATTTTAATAAGGACATTTCAGAAAGAAATCATTTTCTTTTTATTCCAAAGTTTTGATCATTTTTGTTGAATTTTTCGTAGTCGATTTGATGAGTGTTTAAGTTTTTTTAGAATTTTATTTGTAACGTATGCTTGGAGTAGGGTAGTATACTTATTACGAACTCTAAAACCCAGATTTTTAGTCGCATATTTATTTAATTATTATGTTATGGTCCTTCACTATAGGTGGTCGGTTTTCAATCAGTGATTTGAATCCTTTGCTTACTGAGGCTTAGAAACCTGGGTAGTTTCATCAGTCTGCTTCCAATGGATACACGGACACATGTGTCGTCATTATTTTGCATCCCATTTATTATTTATCCGTGACTTAAGTTTTAAAAGATGTGAGCACGAAGAGGGATTACAAAAACACTGTAAATGAAAGGAACATATAAGATAGTACGAATAGCAAATGGGGAAAACTAATCACTCATATATTTAAATTGTTTATCAGGTACAGGTCAGTTTCCTCGGCTTTGACTCTCACTCTGTGTAAAAGCTAGTAATACTACATAGTTGCCAAATAGAAGTAATTGGAGCAGTGTTAGGACTTGAGACTTAGTGTTTGAATGTCAGACGCTTTAACCACTAAAAGACCTCTCCAAACGATAGCTAAATCTGCTTCACTATCATCAATGGCTTTGCTTCTAATGAATTTGATAACATCACTTATATCGTTGCATAAATTACGATCACTGCTACACAGAAAATTATTCAGATATTTGTAATCAGATAATCACTTTTCCTTGGTGTTTACTAGGGGACTGAACTAAAAAAATGTTATTGGAAGTTTTGACAGAAGTTCGAAGAAAATGATTTCAATCCTAATTAATCTCTTCCTCGTAAGTGTTTATGTAATTTTCTAATGGTTTTCTCTACACATACTGTTCTATTAGACGAATCGTAAACACCTTCGTAATGAATTGTTAGAAACACCATTAGATCGACATTGTATGCCAGATGTGGAACATGCGGTTGATGAGGCGAAACGAGCTAGTGGACGTTTATTCCTTAGTGTAAAATTTGAGTTTTCACGAAGCTATCCATCTGTGTATATGCCTGTAATATTTCAGCGTCCAGTAAGTTTTTACTGTGTTTCTTAAAATTTTGTGTAAATAAAATTGTTAAAACAAATCAAGGAAGAAACGTCTAAGGTATTCGTTATGTGGAATGATCTGAAAAGGTGATTACATTTGGCGTCTAAATATTGATTCATAGGTTACATGCCTGCTTTACATAAAATACCATAAACCCCAAAAGTAATTAATAGTTCTGTAAATGATTGTAATATCGGGTAGTGAATGCCATATGTATTCCACAACATTTTAGACTCTCACATATTTGTTCATTGTTATTTCGATGGCTACGAGCTTAATATTTTCATAAACTAATTAAATGTGCAATCTTGCGAATCAAAATCGCTGCATGACTTGCTTAGCTGTTATCTTGTATAATAATGAGAAAAATCTGAAAAAAGTGGAATAAACCACAAGTATCATTCAACAAATATAGAATAAAAATTCGTTCAAATTTTATAATAATCAAATTTGTGAATGTTTCAATGATAAAAATTTCTCCCTTATGTCTTATGATATCTCTATCAACTGTTAGTGAAATTCCATAACGTAATCTACTTTGATCAATACCCGCCTCCAAATGCCCTGGTACGGCCGAGAGTGGGGTGAGTCCGCTATCCCTCTCGAAATGCTCTCTCATGACCACGCGTATATAACCTCTGCCAGAGAAGTCCTACTCACTGCCTTCTCGCGGCGGGGGTGTTTACGAAAATGATAGGACGCTTTAACCGGATACCAAACCCATGGTGCACATGGGCTCCAGTATCCTGCGGGAACAAATGGCGTATGAACCAATTGTTGATCACCGGCTTCCATGGGACTGCATCTCCTTACGGTGCCCCACTGCCTTGTGGATCAGACCTTTAGGTCGAAGGCTTGGGGAGTGGTCCCCTAAGAAAACTACCTGCTTCGGTTTGGCACCCGGGCAGTATCACAGCCTTCACACATATCGAATGAGATCTGTGTGGCGCATAAGTATTTGGTGCTTCCTTGTACCAATATCTATGTGTTAAAATAAAAATAAAATAAATAAATAACTTAAATCCATCACAAAATATTATTATTTTGAAGGAATTAGGTTTATGTAGTTTTCTAATGTTGCGTACTTTCGATAAACAACTGGATTACATTCATATAATTAGTAAAAATCAACTATTTCACATTCTGCTATCGGGTTAATTGTTGAAATAGAATAGAAATGGAGCGTTAACATATATATGCTAATTGCAAGATATACGCAGATCATCAGATTTTCGTCAAATTATTCGAATAATTCCATTTTGTCCACTAAGTTGTAAAACCCATACTAAACTACACTGCAATAATTTTGTGTACTTTTTTCCAAAATTAGTTAAACCACTGTAACACGTAGCTACATAATATTGGAATCAGTTATTATGACCTTGTATCCCGAAGAATTTTCTTTCACATTGTCATATCTGTTTCATTCTTTTCTTCTGTAGTTTCTACCTGAACAGTCAGAATTACGAGCTGATCGAGTGAGTTGTTGTCTGCTTATATTTCTTCATTCAAGACACTCTTGTTAATTAATCATGGCTTTATGATAAAATCACATCATTCATAAGAAATAATTGTTAAACAACTTTTTTTTTCGTGAAATAAATGTGACTTACAGCCTTGGACATGGACTAATTTTTGGTTCGTTACTCACAGAAGCTGATCAGTTGTTTATCTTACTAGCTTTGTGGTAAATACTGAAATGATAAGCTGCCTGTATTTCCTAAGTGAATGGCAGCCTACCACTTTTTAAATTTTTATGGAAGGTACTATTTCTACTACTATTCATACTAATCGGAACTACACTTTGTCTTATACTTATGTTGCTCATATGTATTTCCTTAATTTTTGTGACAATTTTCTGTCACAGACCTTTCCGGTGTCCTAACTGAAATACTTATGGAGAAAACTGAATGTCATCTACAACTCTAAGCAACAGTAGCAGACACAGTAGCCTCCCTGTTTACATAAATTTGCATTAACAATAAAGGTCGCAAGATGTTTTCGGTCATATTATAGCGCATAGTTGATTATGGACACTGAAAGGTCACTGCAAATTGTAAATAGAAGCAATACAAAATAGACTGGAGAGTCTCCTAAAGCTAAACGCCTAAACCATTCAGCATCTAATGTGAAAGATGACAATAGGCTGAAAGAATCTATACTTATTGGGAGAAATTACAAAGCATTTACGTAATACCTACACATTGCCTTGGATCGTCCATTTGCGTCTTTTAGTATGTTTTGAATTCTAAACGTTCTTCTCGTCTGGTCTCCAAGTGTTTTCCAACGTCATGCTTTCTCTGTCCTGAAACTCTTCATTCCATCCGACAAATTCGAGACCATATTCCGTAATATACTACTTACAAGCAACGTTGTGAGTAGCGTTCCCTACAATTTTAAATAAATTTAAATAAACCCAATTTATCTGTCGATTAGAAGAATGATAATCAAATAAGAAGTTAGGGGTATGCCTGGGAAAAGTGGCAATTAAATAGTATGTCGAAACAGTGATATCACAGTTACTCGTTACAAGCAATCATATATCTTATCAACCAAATAATCTGTTAATTATTTGTAGAGAAATACTAGGAAATCAATTCTTTTTTTAGGTTTGTATTAGTGACATTGCCTAGAAATTCAATCAGAGCTTTGTGATTAAATGATCCGACGTAGTGAGGGCAATTCTTGAAAAACCCAGCTTGTGAATAATTTGAGAACTGGCTTTGTCATTGAAATGAAATGAAAACCAGTTAGCAGTTAGTGTTTTAAGCTAGGTACTTAGTCTAATTAACTTGACAGTTTAGTGCATCCCTTAGCCAACCGATCTTATAATGTGACTGGGACTGTATAACTGGGAATTATTTTATCTGATAGGGTCTTATTAGGCTTTTAATACTCCTTGATTCCATACAAAATATGCGGTTACTTGGATTAATATTTTATGAAAACACTGAGATATGATCATTTTCATTCTTTTTATCATTTGTTGTGGATTATTGTTAATTATGTCAGAGACAATTTTCACTTTTTTTTCCTCTAGTGGAATCCAGTAGATGAAAAGTATTTTAAAATGACACGTAATGCTCGTACAGCTGACGTGGATCGTGCACGTAAACCTAATAAAGACATATTAGATAGATTGAAAGTCAGTTTATTCATCTTATTTATTTATTTATCACTGTTTTTATTATATTTCCTGGTTAACATAGCATAAATATCAACGGTTAAATGCTTGATTAAATTTGTTTTTCATTGTTGTTGTAGAGGTTACAACCTCTAATTAATTCATATCTGTTAAGTTTCATTCTTAAATAACTGCTAATAAATCAGGCTACTATTTATGTGCTAGACTTTAGAATACACGTAATATAGATACTTCTCAGCTTCCCTAATGTAAGTAGATTAAGCGGTATCACAATTTAAGATTTAATAAGATCGTTCTTGGTGTTGAGTAATTTTAGTTAATTATAATTAACTGTAAGAATATTTTGTTTCGTAAATCTCTAATAATATTGACATATGTAGAGTTTACCAAATATTATTTAAAACACGAAGTTCAGCAAAGAGATCTCTTCTCAACGAATTTATTATCAAGCTGTACAGTATGTGAGATTTTTCTTAAAGTATTAATTTACTAAAGACATGTGAATAATGAATAAACATAATGATTGTAAAACTAGATTATATAGTGTAAATAATAACAATAAAAGAATGTCTATGTGCAAATAAAAACCCGTATAGAATGAATACGTTAACATTTATTTATAAACCACTGAGCCGGCATCCAACGGTGTTAATGTCTAACTTCAACCAATCCACGAAGTTGCGCCACCGTACACCATTGTCTTCAGTGAGTTGTTATCTCACAACAGACCGGTTGAACTCCACTGGTAACGGCTTCTCACTAGAACTTCAGGAGTTTTTCCTGAAGTCAGTCACTAGTGAGCAGTTGATTATTATTATCAGAATGGGTTTTGTGGAGAATTTTAGAATTTTCACAGTTTTTTGAAATCATGAGTCAGTTGAAGCTAGACCACCATTGAAAACCTGGAAGCACTGGACGGCCGTTTCGTCCTGGTATGGGACTCCTTAGCAGTGCGCATCCACGATCCCGCACCACGCGGGGCTCGAACCCAGGACCTACTGGCTTCGCGCGCGAGCACTTAACCACTAGACCACTGAGCCGGCATCCAACGGTGTTAATGTCTAATGTGAATAGAATAAAATAATTAAAATGTTTTTTTTGTTTGTTATAATAATCAAGGGTTTTAGAGGTGTTAAATGAAATGAAGTGATATCAGAAACAGTTATGAGTAAAATCATGGGGATACAAAAAATAATTAAAGAGAGAGATTTTCAAATATGAAATCAATAAAATGAAAAGAGTAAAAATAACAGTTGAAGTTCATGGTAAAGACAACAATAAGACGTACTTTTGTATATACACGCTTCATCTCATGGATGATGACAGCTTTTCCCTTTTCTAGGGATTGAATACGAGGAAATCCTGGTAGATTTGGATGAATTCTATAAACAACCTTAAAGTCAACCTGTGAATCAGTGGAATGGTTAGGATGAATTACATGTTTTAGAATATAACTGAAAGTTTTCCCCTCACCTTTGTAAAACCATACTGGAACATGTTCTCGTATCTGAGTTGAAAGCAAGTTGTGACTACTGCCTATGTACCTTACTCTACAAGAGCAGGCGAACTGACAGATCCACGTAGAGACGAATAGACTAAGAGAGCTTATCGTTTACGAATACTGAAAATAAATTTCTGTTTGTGAACATTAGTCTCAGATTTGCTGCATAGAACATTCTTTTTATAGCTGTGGATTGTACAGCGTAATAATAAATTATCGGAAAAGAGACCTCTTCTATAAACTTCGTGCTTTTAGTGTTTAGATGGAAATTCTACTACTGTTAAATAATAATAACAATATTATATCTTCATCTCAATTGATAAAGATAATTTAGTATATACTAAGCTGTAAAATATTGTTAGAGATTGTTTATTGACTGAAGATGGCTTATTTCACTTACTATCATATTAATTATCCCTTTGAATACTTGAATCTAGGGTTTGAAACTACTTCACCCTAGGCATCTCTCCTTTTTTCCGCCATCACGACTGTCTTTCGATGTTTAGTTTATTGGTTCTTTTAACACATTCTATTTCACCCTAATTTAAATAATATCGTTGATGTATTATACTCAATAGTTGCTATCCCAACTCAATTTCTTTTATTTTGGTTGCTACGCGTAAACGTTGCATTTAAGGTTTGTCCTTTAGATTTTTAAAATTGACGATGGAAGATAGAAAGTCGCAAGTGCTCGCAATTTAAATCAGTCTATGCCACGAGAAATTCGCAACATGATACTAAGTGATGTGACCTTAAAATACTCTTCACTTCAAACGTTTTGGTTATCAACCAATTTTAGTCACTGATTAATTAATTCAATTTATTTGTGTTCATAGTTCAATTAATTTAGTTTTCACGTAATTGCTGAACTAGATCTATCACTATAAACTCTTAATTAATTTTTTTTCATTCATTAAGCTTGTTCTTGATTTACCACCAGGATTAAATATATCCGAATCAGATGGGGATCTTATCTGGAAGTATCGATTTTATTTAGCTGACAAATTCCCTGAAGTAAGATTTATTGTTACCTATTTTTAATAAAACATTTTACATTTTAAGTGTTGGATTTTAGACCTTACTCTATGCTCGAAGCTGGGTCATGTAAACGAATGTTAAATCAAATGCTTACTGTAAACTAGGAAGCAATGACTCAGCTCTGTAGATTACTGGATCAATGCTGCAATTCAAATCGGCATATTGAAGAGTGATCATGATAATAGTTGCTTTATTCAATATCATAAATTTTCTGACTGGGGAATGATGCAGTATTACGACAAATTTATCGTTAATGTAAATTGTAATTACTCGAAAATATATATTTCATAAATGTTTTGCAATAATTGATTACTGGAATTTATCTTTAATCGGAAACGTTTTTTTCCTAAAAATAGTTGATTAGTGGTTGAAATAATCTATTACAGCTATTATCTTTACCCATCATATAATAGGCGTATGAATCCCAATGTAATTACCCTTCGATCCTTCAAAGTATGAAGTAGGAGGAAAATATGCAAATTACCGTAGTAATTTTGAGTAATTTTTCCAATAATTAGTATCACAGTAATTTTTAAGAACTTGCAGCTGGAAACAGGTATTGGTAATACAGATCTTTTGTCAAGAGGAAGTGTTTTTGTCTTTAAATTTGCGGATGATTTTGTTTTACTGTGCGATACTACCCAAGCCATGCATTTCGCGCTTAATCAACTGATAGGTATGGCATGTGTTTTTAACCTCCTAAGTGTAAAGTACTTCTACAAGACTGGGATAACCCTGAGTCTGTACTCAATCTAGGTACTTAACAGATAGGACTAGTCGGGAAGTTCTTGTATCTGGGTAAATGCGTAAGTGCTGGTGGTGACGTGAGTGATGAGACCAATTCACGTATGGTGAAAGCCAGAGTGGCTTATGCAAATGTGGGCCATCTTTGGCGCTTTCGTGATGTTAGTCTGGCTGTAAAATGTCGGATCTACAACGCGTTGGTAAGCGGAGTTTTGCTCTATACTTGTGAGACCTGACTTCTTCAATTTGAGAATGTTAGATGACTCTCTGTGTTTAATCATCGTTGTCTCCGAAGGATTGCTGACATCCAACGGCAACATCATGTTAGTGATTTAGAGATTCGTCAGTGTGTGTTCTTGCACAATGACAGTAATTCATCTGGTGCCAGTCATGAAACACTGACTTCAGTGACTTGGATATGTACTACAAATATCGTCTCAATCAGTTCCACATCTTGTATTATTTACTGACGCAGAAACTGATTGGAAAAAGAGGTGTAGTTGTCAGTGTATGACATGGTATCATGGTATGAAAAAGACCGCTAGATTGGAATCTGTCGGTCCTTCACGACTCCTTAATTGGAGTCTTATAGATGGAAATTCTGTATCTGAAAGAATCCTTTCTTGTTATATGTTTCTTAACTAAACTGCTTCTCCCATTATTTACTGCTCTCGTTGATTTTTTATTTGGCTTTTGTTTGTTTTATGCTACTCACCTTCATTTTTGCATCTCTTCGCAGCCTCATCTTTTTGTTGTGGGGCATATTTATTCTGGTTCCGCTTTGTAATAATATTTGTATTTAAATAAAGTAGATAAGAACTTCATAAAATCTTATGGATGGATTCGGTTAGCATTCATAATTGATCAGTGAAAACAAATCTAAAATGGGAATGTTTACTCCTGTATTTGTACAGTTGAAAATCAGATGGTCCTAATGTTTGAAAGGGCGGTTGTCGTATTGTTTTACCACTGAAACTGTGGATAAAAACCCGATTTTTAAAATTTCTAACTTCAGATACTGGTATTTAGTTTACTAACTAAACGCTTCTATATTTTTATATTCGTGTCATAATACAATTCAAATAAGAAGGTAGCAATTGGTTTAACAGTTTACGTGTTAATCTCTTTAGACATACTTGTGAAAATCAAAATATTATGAGAAATTATATTAAATTCTGATTTTGAATTTCGCTTTAAATTCCCTTCGATTGAAAAGTGCAATGATCGAATCTTGCTAAAAAAAGGTATACAACATTGCCCAATGTTGTATTCGAATTTATTCATCCATATTTAGTCTGTAGAGAGTTGTCGTTTATTGCAAGGCCATAATCGTGCCATACAAGAATGCCGATAAAACAGAATCCTCTGAATACGTTAACTAAAAGTTTGAGAATATTTGCACTTAAAATCAAATAGATATAATATTTTGCAATGAGTGTTATCTCTATCACTTGGTTTAAAAAAAGGAAATGTACTAGTTGTCTTAGTTGATTGTCCTGGCGGGTTGGATGCTGACAACTGAAGGTTCAGTTAGAGATTAAATGGCTAAGCTTCATTAGTCTTGGTCATTTGTAAAATTTCAGAACAACCAATCATAAAGTAATTCACAGATGCAATAGAAACGCAGTTAAAAATGATGTCAATTACTCATTAAAGAGAAGAGTTATTATATAAAGAATACCAGTGGAACGAACTGTAAGTAGGCTTGGAAACCATAATATACAAATATGGTCAGATGATATTTAGTAAGGGTATACTTAAATATATTAGGAGAGAGAGTTAGATTAAATTTTTGCATTAGGATTCTCTGTGCACTAGCCCTACTCAAACCAGTTGGACTGTTTATCCTTTTTATATCTTCTACAGACTTCTTTAGCGAAATTCATTTTATCTGTTCGTTGGGAATATACAGAACAAGTGAATCAAGCTGTTGAATTGTTAAAACAATGGCCAAAAATAGCGCCTGAACATGTCCTAGAACTGTTCACTCGTCAATTTCTTCATCCTGCCGGTAGAAGATTTGCTGTACATCGTTTAGAAGCTGCCAGTGATGAGGTATGTAACTATTGTTTCCTTAAACTGTTGAAGACTTCTTTATCATTCAAATATTCGTATTAGAACTGTAATTATTTATTTAGCAATAGAGTGTTGATGACTTGTTGTAGATAGAGGGTTCTGTTGTTGAATCTTTCAGTTCGGTTTGCTTGAATGTTAGTAAATGCTGGTTTTGTCACTATAAGCTATGTTCGTCTTGCCATTGTCAATAGATATTCCTTCAAGCTCTTCAAGGTGTCCCCATGTAATCTGAATAGATTACTGTAGTTACTACTTATTCGTCTTTAATTCTCAATTTAGCTTGCTTTACTGGAGAAATTTACTAGTTATATGGGTAATAGAAGTAAATGTTATATTTACTAACAACCAGATCGTTAACAAGAATATCATGTGTCAAATGATCCGATCAATGTAGGAGGTAGAAAACCAAGTTCATCGATAGCGAAACATATTATTGAGACGGGGCACAAAATTGACATTAATACAGCATTTAGAACGTTGTATAGAAATTATCAAGGACGAATTCTTAAGTTTATTGAAGCCTTGGCTATTCGTACATTTAAACCCCCTTATGTGTACAAAAACAATTTGTCGTAACGTTGAATTTACCTTGGTAATCCTTAAGTCATTCTATGGCCTAGGATAACGCGACAATTTCTTATCCTTTCTCTCCCCTTAGTTATTTTTAATTGAACTTCTATTTGTTTGACCTTTATTATTTTCATATAAAAATGCCTTGACAAGTATATGTGTGACCAGATTGTTCGAAATGTATAGCGCAAATACATCACATAGTTCTGATAATCTTCGTCTTATTACATTAAATATCACTGTTTGATTGCATAGGAGATATTCCTTTTTATCAATTTCAAGCATTTCGGAAACAAAATATTGCCTATTTTCACTCGATCATTGATAACATTTAAGCTATCTTGTATTTCACTTTCAACTTCTCGCAAAACTCTATGAGGTGCTCTCTTAATTTTGATTGGTTTACTCAAGACTGTCACCTTGGTATACTTTTATCATTCTCACTCTACAGGATGATTGAACTCGATGGAAGTTAATAATTAGAGATATATAAACTGTGGATCAAATGTTTTTTACAGCCTTTATCAAATTGCAAACTTTCCAAGTTACGAGGTCTAGTCTTGTTATATATATTACGTCTGTTACTGTGACATTGTTACACGTCATAACTTTTTAATTTAAACAATGTGGTCTCTACATCAAAGCAACAGGTCTTTTTCAAGTTCATTGTTATTGAGTAAAATAAACATTGTCCAATTCTAATACTGGTTTGAAACATAGAAGAAGGCTTTTATTGTTGCTAGAACTAAACATTCCTTAGAAATGTTAGCTTACTTAAAGAACTATCCTAACTTCAAGAGTTGATTTCACTTACCTAAAGAGTCAGAAATGAGCCCGAAGGCCACTGGTTCATACTACAAAAAAGAAATAGCATCAAACACACTACATTGATTGACAATTAGGATTTATTCTTATATCTATGTTTATATCTTTTTGGGTTTTTGTATACATTGTAGACCATAGTTCTTCATTTTTTTAAAGTAATCCGTCATCAGGTGTTAGGTCTCCTTAAACGGTATATGCAATGTTTTTGTGTTCCTGGTACGTAGTTGTAGTGAAATTGATGTCTTCCGAACACTGGTTAGAAGAATAAAATCTTTCTTCATGTACTTCGTTGAAGATAACCTTCACTCAACAAACGGGCATCAAACCTCGGTTTACGAATCTGTATTTCACAATTGTTTTGTAGTGTTTTTTCCTGAATGTAAAAACAATAATATGACCTTCCATCTATCCATTTAGGAACTTATTTTATACTTATATCAACTTGTACAAGCATTACGCTATGAAAATTGGCATGATATATTTTCAGTCCAACCTAAAAGGAATGATCGAACTTCTAAACGTAATGTTTCAGATGTTACAAAAGAAGGTAATTCTGAAGAGGTGAAATCTACAAATTTGACATCAAATCGTAAAATGCCATCATCTTTTCGTACTGGACGAGGTGGTGGTAAGTCATCATCCTGTTTTTATTTCATTCATCAACAGCATTGCAAAATATTGAACGCAGTCGTGAAGAATTAATTGGATGGCATTCTGATTTAAAAAAAGAATGGAAAGTAAGTTAAGTCTGTTTATATTTGTGCATTTTGATTTTTAGTATCTAATAATTTCATTTACTTTTTCATTGGGTTATTTTTTACATAATAATATGAATCGTATTTGTTGTATCAAGGGATCGTACCCTTGTACCAACTTCGGTATTCACCTTGTTGAATGTAAGTAATATCGAATGCAAATCACTTTTTGGATATCCATTTAACTCACTACCCCTTCCACTAACAAGGTATCAGGCGATGAATTTTTTCTATACGTTGCTCTCTCTCTTTCCCGAAATGTCCAGTGCTCATAACCATATATTAATTGACTAAGAAAGCTGTGTACTTTGTCGACTTTTTTATTTATTCATGAATGCCTTTGTCTTTAAGCCAATTGACTTCGTTAGCTTTTAATTCATATAACCAACCACCACCAAGTGGTCACAGTTATTATGATTAAATACCAGAGTTTGATTATCAATAAACAAATTACATTGTTATTCTTAGTTGAAGAGACTTTGGGTTTCGAAATGAGTTTTTATTTAACTGTGATTTGACAGCAAACGATCAAGTGATCTAAGTTATATAAAATGTTGAAAGTCTTTAAACCACTAAAATGAGTGATCTATATGAATATCTAAATGATACCAAGTAAATCTCATCTTCAGTCACATTTAACAACGGAACCGTCTATGTATATAATACCAACCAATTTTAAGCCATTTAGTCTTGATACCGTAATTTGAGAAAATCCTAGTATCTTCCAGGAAAGAGAAACGAAGTTATAGTCTCGAGGTTTGAAGCTTATAAAGTGTACTATGTAGCATTGTTTATTTACAAAATATATTTTAGTTTAACTTATTATTATAAATATGTTAGTATAATGGATTTATGGAGATTGAAGAATTCTCATAGTTTAAATCACGAATTAATCTTAGCTAGGCAACCATTGAAAACCTGGAAGCATTAAATAATGGTGTTGTCGCAGTATGGGACTCCCAGCAGTGTTAATCCACAACTTTGCATTCGGGAGTCGGACCCAGAGCCCTTGGTCTCACGCGCCAAAGCTTAGCTTCTACATCACCACTGAGTTGGCATCAAACGGTGTTAATATCTAACTTGAACTAATTCACGATATTTCACAACTCTCATCCATTACCTTTAGTAGATAAATTTCTCACACGCGACACGATTAAACTCCTGTAACCACAGCTTCTTACTAGAACCCCTGGATTTGGATCATGAAGCTAGTCACTAGTGAGCACATAATTATTATTAGTATATGAGGATTTGTAAAGACTGTTGGATTGTCATAATTAAAATCACGAGTTGATTTCAGTTACTGATGCAATGATCTGAAATATGGAAGTCATTGAAATAGGATAAAACAAACAGACTTTGAGTAGAATGATCTCAGAATCTTTAGATATTGTCACGAGCACAATACCATTTAGTCATAGAGTTTAATGTTCACAAGTGCATATATAATTTTAAACAACCCGTCGGACTAGTTACAAAACTTTTTTCTCCAAATATATATTTTCTTTTATAGGAAGATTTAGCCAGTTTCCTTATAAGACGTGCTCAATTAAATTTTCGTATTGCAAATTACTTGTATTGGTTTTTACGATTAGAAGCAAACAGTAATGATGGTGAAGATGATTTCTGCGAACGGGATAGAGTAAATCCACCCGATACTCAAAAGATGTATAAACATGTTTTGAATAGACTTTTACATGCTTTTGATGCTGTGAGTTTTTACCATTTGGTGGATGTACAGTCTTAATATTGTTGTTGTCACTTTTTTAAAACACGTTGTACTGTTGAATTTATAACTTTAGGGATACTTGAAATTAAGACGTAACTGGACTGCACGACCGCACATCATTAACAGACAATAAGTAGCTTGAGATAGTGCAGTGAGGTTTCATTGTAGCATTTACTGGTTTCCGGTTATGAAATCAAGACTTATGAATTAGGAACCTTAATAATGTTTCTGTATTTGACTGGTATCCGTAAATACTACTTTCTAGTTACTTTCTGGTTATTCAAAATTATTCAAAAGTGGTCGATATCTAACCCACCTAATCTCTATATCTCCTGTTTGAATCTGGACGAGAAGATTCCAAATGAACGTATGAGTATGCCATGAACATAAATCTTCCATTTAACTCCTAATATTACCCAGTCTAACCCCGTTTATGAGACGGCGGCATTAAGAAACCTAACTCGGATTAAGTTAGATGAATTTATTTCAGTTACACTTATATGCCGATAGACATTAAAAATAAGAAGCGGGAAAACGAAGCGAAGTGGAGAAATGAAATATGCCAACTCGTTTGACGAATCGTGATACAATATTTATAGTTAGGCAAAAATAAGCTGAAGACATTATGAATAGGGTACGTGATGGACACATATTTTCATATAAAAGCAGTCTACGTTATAAGCGAATAATTAACAAGGTCGAAATGTAACTCGAGAAAAATAAGTAAATTGGTCTGTCTGGAAGCTAGAATAACCCATATCGGCTTGACATAGGGCTAGACACTACAAGTTGAATGAAAAACACTACTGGTATGCATGGTAAGTAGTTTAATGTTACTGAGAGCAAACGTTTGATTTTATTATCGACACCAATCTGGTGAAGGAATATCGATCATTAATCTTTTCATAAATAAGAACTTTCGTCTAAATTTGAACGAATAGTTTCACAATATTTGGGCGCCGAGTTAATTAATCTTTTCAGTTTCCAGCTTGCGTTAATCATTATTGTCTATAACTTTTAACCGATCATTTTTCCTCTTAACACCAAATTTCTTGTTACTCTGTAAGTGCTTTTGATATTTATCTGGTTTCTGTTAGGACTAGAATGATAATTCTGATAGTAGCGATGTTGATTGAAGCGTTTATTTTATTAGCTTTGGAAATAACAAACACATTTTGATAAGTGCATCTCAAGTATCATTACCATTAGAAAGTTGAAAATATTACAAAGCAATATACTCTGAAATTTCTCAGTGGTCAGGTTTCTTGAATTTCTTATCTATGTTTGTACTTTCCCTCTGTCGTTGCTTTAGTGTTAAAACGAACATACACGGTTTGCGATTCTGGTACTTTATGCTAGAGGACTAGACACTATAAAATTATATCAATAGAACTGAACACAGATATAGATTAGTAAACTCAATAGAACACGGTACTTAATCATATGACACTCAATTTAAATTCCTGAAAGCCGATAGATAACCATGTATTGTTGAAAACGGAAACATATCAATGTACAATGTAAAGTAGTTAACAAGTAATCTCAAATTATAACGAAAGTGAAGCCAGTTTTATTTATACGATAATCTCTTGTAGTCATGGTAGGTGGATATATTTGTCTTCGCTCATTGGCTAATCACGATTTATTTTGATTGGTAACACCAGGTTTGTGTTGATATACGAGCTCTCTAAACGAAAGCCTCATTATTAATCCTATTTAGAAGTTAATTATTGTTTGACGCTTGAATAGATGGTTACTAGTTTTGAATTTCACTGTGGACATCAGTACTGCGACAGGAGTACATTCGACTGGTTAGTCCTAAATAAGAAGAAATAATTATCCTGGATTTTACTGCTAACTGCTGTCCGAAATAATTGTTAAGTATGTATTTATGAGTGATCATTGGATCCAATTTAGTTACAAGGTATTTTTCTTGATCCTATCCAATGTAACAGTGGTTTAGTTGATTATCTCTTTATTATAATGTTTCCGTAAAGTATAAGAGTTGAACTTCTCATTAACTTGGTTTCTTTGTGTTTTTTCCCAACCAATTAATATATAGGGTAGTCCTACTTGTCAAAAATGGAATATAGAACTACTACAACAAACACAATTCATTCAAGATTTATGCCGGTTGCTAAAATCAGTTACCAATGATTTGGGTAATCGTTCACGCAAAGTAATTCAATTTTATGCGTTCTCCTATTCATTTGAAAAAACATAATATATTCAATAAGAGAATTTTATCCTTCTTTTTCTTTTAATTTGCACCTAAGTAACTGCTAATTTACATCTCAATATCCATGTAGCTATGATTCTTAGTGTGTTTTTAATAAACTAAGTTTAATGAATGATCCCCATTTATTTTATTAAGTCTAATTCTTATTTGAGTTCAATAAAGAAACATTAAAGTCAGTCGATTCGATTGTTTCTTTTTTACTGGTTCGTTCACGTATTTTACCCATAATGTTCGATCTGGAACCTCTCACTTTTTACTTCTATATATGGTTTCCTTAGTACAAGACCAATGGAATAATTGTGTCTTTCTTAAACATTCATCATACTTTATTCACTACTTGATGCTAAGATTTTATTTAAACACTAAATACGTACTTTTCACAACCAAAGCTCACCGATTAAAATCTGGATCACATTGTATTAATTCATTAAATATTCCCATTGAGACAATAAAAAGACAAGTTCAGCAAGGAAATATTTTTTCACGGAGTTCTTCATCAAGGCTCTACACTAATGCATATGTTTTATAAGTTTGTAGAAAGTTGATAGCAGTTATATGGTTGTGAGTCAGTTTACCTAAATACTAATCAGTTATTTTATATAGCGTTTGAAAAAATCAGATTAAGATTAAAACTAAAGTGGATTTTCATAATAAGTTAATTATTACAAATAGTTAGATAATTAAAATTGGGTGTAAATATAAAATTTTAAGAGAAGGGAAAGAGAAGTTTCGAAACATGTAACAGTATCTTAGTAGAAAGCTAAAGTAAACTCAAAGGCTGTCTAAACTCCTTGTACATACACAAGTTAGGTTTTTCGATATGTATTCATATGGCTTCTACCATATGTAAGAGTCGGACTCTAGAACCATAGGGTAAATTCGGAGAGATGTTATAAATAACGCTGTCGTTTTATCTATGTAGTGACCAGTATCGACTAGATTCAGCAACATAGAGCTTCTTATTACTTCCTTCTGTCCTTTGGTCGAGCATGAAGGGCGATGTTCAGAAATACGATGATGCATTTGTCTAGTTGCGCTCCCATAATAAATAGCTCCACAAGAGCAGTTCAAATTGAACTAACTAGGTATGATAAAAAGATGTGTTTGCTGATGCCGGTGTTCATGACATTAATAAAGTAAACGAGTAAATTTGGTGTATATTAATTGTACATTCAACTTATTTATTTATTTATTTTTGCTTTAATGTATAGATTGAATTGTTAAGATCAAAGTTGGATAGTGAAGAATATGCTCATATTAGGCATATTGATAAACCATTCCCTCTTCCTCTAAATCCGGATATTATTGTATGCGGTGTACAGTCGTCTACAGCTACACTATTCAAGGTTTGTTGATATATGCATATTTCTCTGTTAATTATGATGATTAGCATCATTTAAATGATTATCTTGAACGGCATCATTCAAAGAATTTTGAAATTACATATTGTAAAACTTTAGTTGTAAAATGATTAATATGACAAGCTATTTTTTTTGGTGATGGGGGGGGGGTCAAAGCCAGCTACACGGTTCTGTACCTGGCAAATTAGTTCCCTTCAAACTCATAAAGGAACCTAGAAATTATTCACGTATCTTTTTTATTATTGTAGGCTACTAAAAATATAAATGTAATGTAAATGTTCCATGAATTTGATTTTCTATTATTCTGTTATATACCTGCGATCAATTTCTTGTAGAGTTTTCAACGACCTGCATTACTGACTTTTATCCAACCGAATGGCGACACTTATCGAGCTATTTTAAAACACGGTGATGATTTACGTCAGGATCAATTGGTTTTACAAATGATTGAGTTAATGGATGTGGTAAGATTTCCTTTAGTTTATTCTCCTAAGTTAAGAGAAATTTCGACCAAGCATTCAGATATCATAAATTAGTCGCTTGATAATTGGAAAGGTAGTCTGAGTTTGATTAACTATTGCAATTTAGTAATTGTTTTATGCTCATAAACCATTTTTCTACATAATAATTGTTTCTATCTTCTTACAATATTATCTTTTTTCTAGAGTCAGTTAGTTATGTAGTATAATCTGCGAGGTTATCGAATAATTATATATTTTGACTTGATACTTATAAGGTTTTATTGCTTTCACTTCTATCATAGTATAGGACGTCGAGGTAAACAGTGATTTTGTTGGCTTAGTCTATCATAGTTTCTACACTATCTATTGGAATAATCTACCCATAGAATTCGACATATGAACCCACTTGGTGCTTCAAAAAATAAGGCAATTTGTAAAACTTCGGTACTCCTAATAACTGTACTTTAAAATTCATGGTGTTCACAGCACAAAAGTTTATCATGGATCCCTATGGTTTGACTTTTTTTCAGTTAGACACTATGCGATAAAAGTTACATTGCTAGAAATATGTATATTTAGTCCGATTCTGATACTGTTATACAAGCTTCCTATTTGCGATGATAAGATTGGGAGTGAGAAGGAAGTTTTTTCATTGATCGACCGTTTTCTTAAAAAAAAGCTATACGCTCACCCATACATGTGTCTCTTGGATATTCAAGCCACATTGAAACGTCTCGTGCTGTTGAAACGGAAGCCACACGTTAACCAATTATGTGAGCTTATCATTTGGCCGATATCTGGTTGGCTGCTTAAAGCCTCTTAAGTATTAGTGGATTTGAAGCTGACTAGGACGAGATAGTCTAAGACTCTATGGTTTTCAATGATCCTCCGGTTAAAATCATTTCGTATGGTCCACATTCACTACCTGTCTCTTGAAAATATGACCATCTTTGTTCATTTCAACTGAGTTTTCATCCATATTTTATTGCTGTTATCATTACAATCAGCCTTATTATTTCAAAAAAGCACGTTTAACTTCCTACGGATTCAGTTCTTCGCACCTTTTTCGATTTTTCATATCTACTTGATATATTATTATTATCACCTTCATTATGATTATTTCACAAGTTTTGGAAATAGATATTAGTTCTATCAGTTCATCTCTTCTGTTGTGAATAATTTACGCGTTTCTTTGGGTTCATTACGTTCTGAACTTTCTTGTCCATTCTACTGTTTTGTAAGTTGAATTTCTAAGATTTTGGGAAGTAATTACGATTATTTATAACCATAGAATAAATTTATTAACGATTCATTCTCACAAGACTATATCTATTAAACATCTTGTTCATTAATTTAGTGCTTATTCAAAAGAATCTAAACGCATAAAATAAAATAAATTCGCTACATCTCATAGCGTTTACTGTTCCTATCAAGTTTTCTTATTCAAGGGTTAAGGGCTCGCCACAAGACCTACAGGTCTTGGGTTTCATTTCCGGTTGGGTTGTAGACATACACTGCCGAAGAGCTCATGTTTTAGGACGGAACGGCTATCCATTACTTCTTGGTTTTCGTTAGTTGTCTAACTAATATCAATCCGCAATGCCAACTATAAAGTCTATCGGTTGACATAGTTTCATATAGCTTTCTCTTAATACCCTTTACCTTAGTAGTTGTGTTTGTGTTAACAGTTGTTCTTCTCACTGCTTATCTCCAAACGTATGACTTCCATAAGCTTTTTGTGATGATTAATAATGATGTAAAATATTCACATTTATTGTTATTTCAGACTTATCTTCTGTAATTGTCTGAACACCAATATGGGTACATGTTAGCCCTGTTCCCATTAATGCTTTATTTATTTATTTTACGGCGTTTTTTCATTATCTGTTGTAGATACTTCGCAAAGAAAATTTCGACCTTCGATTGACACCATATAAAGTTTTGGCAACAAGTAACCGTCATGGTAAATTACTTATGTTTCACTTAAATACATCAGTGTAACATTTTACGTATTCTGAATTTTTCACTTTAGCATAACAAGGATTTTTAGTAAAAATTTGATGACAAAAAGTAGCAAAGTAAAGCCTTTATATTTTTACTTACATACACCTGCGTCTTGTTTAACCGGAAGATATTTAAAGAGAACTATGTGAATGGTGTAGACGGCTTGTGTCTGATAAAGTAACACTTGCCAGTAGTTATTCAGATTTCAAATGTCTGTCCACAAGCATATTCATAAAGACACTAAAAGATTAACCGTATACCTTATTAACTGCCTTCAGCGCTCTTCGCAACAAAGTAAAATCTTTTCTCAGAAGCCCGAGAAAGAATAATAGGCAAATATAAAGGAATTTACAAATCGTAAAAGTAAATACCGAGTGATGGCAAAAGTATGTAACACTCTTTCCTGTAATAAATCAGACGGGAAACTTTCTTCGGTATTGATAAAACATGAAAATATCACTTTTCATTTAGTTTTCTTATGCTTTTTTCTTATAGGTTTAGTTCAATTTGTCGAATCCATTTCATTGGCTGATATTCTTCATCGTTCCACATTACTAGCTTATTTACAGTTAAAAGCTCCGAGTCCAAATAGTCCTATGGGTGTTCAAAAAGATGTTATGGAAACATATATTCGTTCTTGTGGTATGTTTTTCTGTTATAAAGAAAAGCCATTTTATGTGAATAAAATAACTTTGTAGACAGAAAAACGCTTTAGTTGTCAATGAAAATGGTATTTTGTGTAAATAGTAACTGTTATAGATTGACTATAGATAACTAGCTGTTTTGGTAGCTCAAGGACGATAATAACTCTGATAGTTCTAGTGTTTAAGTGCTAATCTACAAAACGATTAGAGTAATAAAGTGTTAAGTGACAACAGGGTAAAAATTCTTTACTAAATTAAGAGAACCTGTTTTGTGGAGTTGATGCTATGGGGGAGATTCAATGTATTCCTCGGAAAGGGTCATAGAGACCCAGAAAACGCTGGGGATCCTTTTTTCATCAGCGTTCAATAGAAGCTTCTCAGAAACATTTAGAAAGCAATGAGTCACGTTTTCGATTGGATAGTTACCTGTGCTTCCACTATATTTAATATCGTTCCAGAAACTTCCTGAAACCCAAAGACATCTGAAACACCATAAATGCCCTCGATTTTCTGTAAATAAACCAAACTTGGAGTAAAACCTTCCTCTTACACTTTGCGCCTTTGCTTTTATATTCAAGTTTCCGCGTCAATTTAGCCTGGAATTATTAAAAGCGATCAGGAAGTCGATTCGAGCGTTCATTGATAAAGCTTATCAAATACGACAAATATAAACAAAGCGAATGCGACAGGACGATACAAATGAAATAGTATTTAAGAATAAACTAGTGTAAGTGTGGGAAGAGTTAATGTCAGTATTTCTTCAAAGCACGCGTTTATCTACTATGTCAACTCAATTACATTGTTTTTTATAGTTGAATTCACAATCTCAATCCTCAATAATTTTATCGTGTTGGTTGAGCCATTTTAAGCTGCTTTTATTAGAAAAGATCACTAGTAAACTAGTGTTTTTGTACATTCATCTTTTGAAGTCTTCGATTTTATCACTCTCTAACTCAGTTATAAGCAGCATACAAACTAGCACATTTGTGCACCGTTCTAAGTTATCACGCTATACTTACGTAATGTAGTGAAATAATCAAGATGAATACTAAGTTGTTATATATAGTAGAAGGTTTAGTGATCGTGGAAGAACATTAGACAGAGAATTTTATCATTATTTATCATACGATTCAATTAATTGTTTATTTTCACAAATATTTTCAATCACTATGTGGTATTTCTTCCTCTAACAGTGTGTGACATGAATATTTTATACTAACTTCAATCGCTTTATTAAGGAAACTACAATAATTTTTTTTGCTTTTCTTACAGCCGGTTATTGTGTCATCACTTATCTTCTTGGAGTTGGTGATCGTCATATGGAGAACTTACTGCTCACTGCTGATGGTCATTTATTTCATATTGATTTTAGTTTTATTCTTGGCGCTGATCCTAAACCAATGGCACCTGAAGTAAGATTAACTCGTGCAATGATTGATGGTATGGGTGGTCCAAATTCAAATCAATTTAATGAATTTTGGAAAATCACTTTTACAGCTTTTCTTATTTTAAGACGGTAAGTGATAAATGATTATGATAAGTAGTGTATATCTGGTACAATCTAAAGATTTATTTAAGACATTTAATCATCTTTCTAATGTACTGACATATTATTGTTTTTAGCTTGAATATAAACGTTGTTATTATTTAAGTTAACGTCTGTATTGTTCAAATGTTTCAAATAAAATATGCTGAAAAACGTTTTACATAGTTTAATCGTTATATTACGACTCATCTCTAAACAACTATAGTATTTATTTTCATTGGTTTGATCTGTATTCAATTCTTTCATCCAACTGTTTATCGATTTCTCATCTTTGACAGGTATTAGGATAATTTTTAGCAGCTTTATACCTTAAAATGTTGGTGCTAATAGTAGTCTTGAAGAAAATGCTAATGTTGACCCACTCATCCCGAGACTCATAGTTTTAGTTTTTCATTTTCATTCAATTCATGATATAACACTACCTTTTCCATACACATAAATGTTCATTCTTTGTATGATTTCGCGTGTTTCACTTATTAGTTGTAAAATTTCATATAACTTTCGCGTCAAAATTAATTTTAATTATTTGTTCATCGGTTATCTATACCGTATTAACACTTTTACCAATTGTAGTTAACAATTCCTTTTATTATTATTTTTTTTTATTGATATACAGGCACGCGAATTTATTTTTGACTCTATTTTCCTTAATGTCAAACACAGGAATACAGAGTTTCAATGGTCAACAAAATAATGCATCTGAATTTTTAAAAGAACATTTCTGTGTACATCAATCAGAAGAGAAAGCTGTTAGTCGACTGGCTAATCGTATGACTGAATCTATCAAGGCTATTGTACCTGATATTATGGAACGAATACACACTATTGTACAAGTAAATAACTTCTATTATGTTGGGAATAGTCAATTTCATATTTTTTTCTTAACATGAAACAGATATTGTTTACGAAACTAAATAAAGAGAGCAAGAACAAAAATTGGTGCAGAATAATATGAATTCATTTTATTTCGTTAGGTTCTCATCAGCTGCTTACAACCTAAATTATTTAAAATTCAACATTAATACAGATATTGACATACTTGACATCCATTTGTTGTCCAAAACAACATGCTCTTTGACACAATCAAAGGTCGATAGGTATCCCTTTCATGTTACCACCAACTGTGTATACAAATTTACATGTACCTGCCAAAGCAGTTACATTGGTAGAACAGAAAGGAGAGCCTACGTCCGATTCAAAGAACATATTCCGAAAAGTTTAAGGTTAAATGGATTGAACGCATTCAACAGTGCTATCGCCAGACATCTCCTTGATACAGGACATAAAGCTGATATACTGAAGTCCTTCAAGGTGATTAACAAACAATCAAACTCGAACCTTTTGAAATTCGCTGAAGCGTTAGCAATCAAACGTTTAAAACCAGATCTATGTATACAAAAAGAGACAGTAATAAATCTTTCTTTACCCTGGTAACAATAACCCCCACTCTTTCTATTAATTTGCTCCTATTTATTTATTTATTACGTCATTATTGCAACTCTTTCTGAAATATAAATTACATCATACATAACTGATTGATTTCAATTCATATTTTCTTTATTACCATTAATCAATTTTCATGAGTTCTAATCACTATTTCAATGTTCTGGAACTTTCCCTCTCAAACTTTATTTATTTATTCGAATCAAACATTTTATGAGCTCATTAACTCTATCTGAATATTCGCTACATCATCATACATATGTATTGATCCTTAATCACACTCTTATATATAAATATGTCAATATCTGTATTAATGTTGAATTTTAAATAATTTAGGTTGTAAGCAGCTGATGAGAACCTAACGAAATAAAATGAATTCATATTATTCTGCACCAATTTTTGTTCTTGCTCTCTTTAAAATAATAAAGGGAACTATGTGTATGAAACTAAATAACTTGTCACACTCGTATATAGACAAAATTTTCTTTGGCAACACTTTTGTCTTTATAGATGATAGATTGGTATGTAATTTGATTGTTGTGTTTGAGGATACTTCTTCGATAGTATTCGTAGATCGTTTCCTTTCATCTTCTTTTCATCAGTTATATTTCAATTGCTTTGATAGTCTAATTCTAATGAGAAATTTATAGTGTTAGTTTCATATGCTTGCTGAAATTCAAGTAGTTTCATGGGTAAATGAGCCGTTGCATGTATTTATTAAGGTTTTATTTATGAATTTTTCAGTTAGACATCAACATCAGGTCTGATACAAATGTATATCGGGCCAAGTTACCGCAGTTAATATCAGCACAAGGAGAGGGGAATTTTAGATGAGAAGCTAAGGGAAGTTAGTCGTATAAAAAGCAATAGAAATCTGAACGTAAAAAATTCTGTTTATAAGCAGCAAATGGAATTGAAGAATTTCAAGTTAAGGATGGTAGTTAACAAAGGATTTATAAGAAACTAGAGAATAAGTGTAATCACCCTGCTACAACGGATTTTACAACATGTTACCCAACCATTGCTTAGGATTATTGTGTAGATCCAAACCAGAATGTCTGAACCTATCGATGTGACGTAGATCCTTTCCATACTAATCATATGTCAACTAGGATCGAGCATTATGGTAATCTGTGATAAGCATACCTAACATGTATCTGTTAGTCTTGTGTGCTTCCATCATAGCTCTCATCCGTATCAGTAACAACTAGGAAAACAAGAACCTAGCATCCTTTCATGTGACCCACACCTTCTGGTCAAAAACTACAGCGTATTACAATGAAAGCTGTAGTACCTGAGATTAATTAGTAACTTTTCATGATTCTAATAGTATTTGAGAGAATCATTAGTTTTAAGTAAACTTGTTTTGAACATCTAAAACGTATTACTATGTTTACTAGATGTCAAAGCAACTTATGTAGCTGGGCATTGCGATTTATTAATTCTCGCGGGTTCACTATATGTAATGCTCTACTCTGGTAAGCTGCTGCTTTGTATCCTGTCATGATCTCTAATTTCTTTCGACTTTAGTCATTACATCAGTTTGTAATTGTATTATATATAGGTATTTTTGAAAAGAGTTCTACTTAAATGGATAGAGCAACTCAGTAGTGTGTTCTTTCTGTAGGTAAAAACTTTTACCGATTATAAAAATTTTTTTCAAATAATTCATTATTTTAAACCTTCATTTATTTTTTTCCCACCTAGTATATGAGGAACTAATCAAACCTTCCAATAATCTAATTGTGATATAGATCTTCAGTAACTTTTTTGTCAAACGTATATTTCCCTAACAAAAAAAACATCATACATTTTCACCAGGATACTTTTGTTTACAAAATATTTCAGTCAATAATAAAACGTCACAGTATTTCTTATCACTATTTAATATTTTTTGTAACAATGTATGTACATGAAGAATAATAATATTAACAACAATAATAGAGTTGTCTTATGTAAATCATTCTTCTTTAATGTATGAATCATGAGTTAGGGATAAATCCAATATTTCAATTCCAGTTTGTTTAAGAGCTAATGTAGTTGGCTATCGGTTAAAGAAAAGAAATACATAATTAATGTATAACAACTGATAAAAAATGCTTTCAAAGCAACCTTTCTCGATTATTCTACTCATAGGTGTGTTGAGATTTAAGAAAAATATGTCGAGCGCTTAGGTTTACATATATCAGTCGGATAAAACTGTAATTAGTTGTCATAATGTGAGTACAAGTTTTATTATGGGATAATTGATATTTGCTTGCTTAGATTTAAACCTATAGCACTATCTGAGGTTTGGTCATGTTCACTTAAATTCTTTATTACAACAATATTCAAATACCATTAATCTATACCGCTCACCAGAATTTGTCTACCATGGTTCTTCTAAACACCGCTTTTTCTTATTTTATCAGTTGTGAAGTAGGGCTTCAGCTCCCATTCGCAACAAGTTAGTCACATGCAACGTTGAACCCGAACCTTATCTGTTTCGTTTCAATTCTTTATACCACATTTATACAGCAAGATGAAATTATCAAGATAAATCCCGAGGTAGTAGAAATAGTATGATTAGCAATGGAAAAGTTTAGAAATAGGCGCTATTATTCTAAACAAGTGAGTTCATAGAATAGAAATGTGTAAGATAATTCTTAAGCTCAGGATTATAGGAAAAACAGAATGAATGTATCTGTGCCATTTCGACAGATTCTAAGCCATGTCATTCAACGTCACCAACCATTGTTTACGACAATCTTATGGACCCCGATCAGGTACAGTAGTGTTTATTAAATAAATATGATTTCATACGATTCATATTATTTGTTGACCAATTAAACTTAGCTATTATTCCCTCACCAAATAACCAGTTAAAGCGTTTGCATCGAACTATATATTCGGTCATCATAACAGAAGGTAATCTAATAAAACTGATAGTGAATTATTTTTCTCTCAGATATGCCACGATAATGCGAATAGCCACTTTGTATCAGATTCAAGATTCATGACTCTGAATAGAGAACCAGATAATACTTTATTCAACACATCCAGTCACACTCAGTGAGCCCGGAGTAGGAATCAATAGGAGAAAAGGAAATCACTTATTTAATAATCAGTAAGTTAAGTGCCTGTTTGTCCACGCTCAGTGACCAAACGTATTTTAATTTCACTGCCGCATATCTCCTTGAAATCAAGGAATGCAATAGTCTCATAATGCTCAGGTACACTTTGGGATTCTTTGGGACTTTTCTTCCCAGCTGTATAAAATATCAAAATCAGTGCATTTAGATAACCGTGAAGTGTCATATGCTTCTTTATCTCTCAAGATGTGATGCACTATTTTAAAAAGATTACCTGTAGAAAAAGTTTGGTAAAAAAAACTCGAGATAGAAATTCTTTCAAGCCGAAGTTCGTTTTTTTGTCTGTCACTTGTTGCACTGGTAAACTGCAGGCTCTTATTGTTAGAACATTTATATATGAAAAGTGGAATAATATAGAAATCAACACTACTGAATCCACCCAAAATATAAACTTGATAGATTCTTGAAATGTAAATAAAAAGTGAGTGATTGTGAACCCATATTAGAAATTAGAACTGTCGGTATTTATTTTTCAAGAAACGTAATAAATTCTATGATCACTTGTATGATGCAAACCAGGTTTTAGGAACCGTGTTTATGGTTGAAGTAATCGTATTTTTACCTAACCTTAAACTAGCCCGCATTCCATTTGAAAGCGTTTATATCACATATTGTAGGCAACTTATTCGGTTCATACAGAAATTATAACTCGGTTAACTATCTCTTATCTTCTAGATAACATTTGACATAAACCCATTGCATCACTGAGTAAAGTAAACAGTTCATTTTATAAACTATTACGTAACTTGTATTCTACACTTGAAGTTTTTAGTAATCGTAGTAATGACAAAATAACCTATTTTACTATGCACTTGTGAGCAAGAGTGAAAATAAAACTTACTGCACTTTTCGGTATGTTTGTATTGTACACTCGCTTTTCCTCTTTATCCTTTTCATATTGGAGTTGCATTTCGGAGCAAGAAGGTTGAGGAGTTCCTGTCCCTGTCGATATGGAGTTAGGCTTTATTTGTTCTGTTGAATAAAAAGAAACATCGAATAAACTTTTAGATTTCATAGAAAAATCTATATATTTTCTGTAATCACCCTAGATTAGTCGTCCATATTTAAATGCTTACTTGACCTGTGACGAATACAAACAAGTCCTTCTGTTTTTGTAATCCATCACTCTACTGAATCGATCAGTTTCTCCTAATACCGTTTCTCTTCTAAAATTTTGATTAGAAAGTTAGACTTTGGTGGTCGAAAGTTGTGTATTTTTGTTGCTTGTTTAACTACTGCAATCATTATGCTCTATCTTATATTCTAGTAAAACCGATATAAGCGATCAAATACTATTCCTTCACTTCAACTTTAAAGTCGGGAATTTTAGTTGGATAATGGACAAGTATTGTGTGATATAATAATTCCACGACATCCTGGAACGAAATTAGTTTTCTTTTTCCGAATTATCTATTTATAAAGTTTTTAAAAGAAAGTGTGATTATGATTTTCTAAAGAACTTGTTAGCTGTATTGCAATAAAAAACAAGAATTAACAGTTAAATCCATATCGTTAGTCCTAAAATGTGAACTAGAAATGATGTATGATTGAAACTATAAAATCATCTAAAAAACTTAATTTTGTTTTGAAGGTGTTTTCAAGCTTCATTTAGATTAAATAAAACTGATTAACAACGATACCAGAGATATACTAGACTTTGAACTGCAAAGTGTGTATGTTAGGAGTCTCACTTGACTTCTTGAACTAAAGTTGATAATGTGGTATAAAAGATGACTACTGAAAACAGTTTCACTCAAAATTCATTAACAAAGCATACACCTAGGCAATACTCAAACATACCGTGAAGTAGACCTAATTCAGAAAATTTGATTAAACATGCCAATTCACACCATCCGTCGTTAATTAGTTGATAATCAATCGAAAATGATCTTTCTAATTCGTATAATAATTGATCATTTTCATTCTTCCATTGGTTTTTCTGTTTTTTCTGAATCGCATTTTTGACAGTGATATCTTTTGACCACGTTATTTTCTTTTGTAATTGTAGTGTACATTCATTCATCTTTCTAGATTGATTATTTTGAACTGATTTTAAAACTTTAAAATCTTTAGTTTTATTAAAACTTTTTTCATTTAATTCCAAAATTTCAAGAGTTGAATTTCCAGTATTGCCAAAATTTGATTCTATTTCTGTCATAACAGTAGTAGAATTTTCTTCTCGATGAGGAGTACAGCTTGCAATATCTACCGTATACGGTTGAAGTGGAAAATCAGATTTTGATTGATCAGTTAATACAACTGTATCGTGTTCGTTGAATTTTGCTTTCGTTGTACAATCAGGTCTGACTTGCACCATTTTTATTAGTGTTGAAATTTGATCGTCGTCGTATTTAACTGATTCCTCGTCATGTATGGCACGATTTATGTTATAGTTATTATTTAGGCAGTCGGATTTGATCGAACAATCAGATCTTAATTCAATTTCCTGTTTGATATTCGAATATAATGATGAGTTTTGATTTTGCATTGATTCTAAGTTTACTGAATTCTTAGATAAGTATCCTAATTTCGAAGATCCATCATATATAGGTGGACACGACGCACAAAGGAGATTGTGATTAATAAATGATTTTTGTATGGAGCATAAATCAGGTGTATTATCTTTTAATAATATATAAGGAATTGTTGGTGTTTCTTTTGTATAACTGCATCCATCTAATACAGGTGTAAGGGTGAACGTTGAACTCTGACTTAAATCTGTATCCATTGCAATTTTATCCTCTGGATCCCATTTAAATCGCTTACGACTTGTTTTCTGAATTGAAGGTTCATCATTATCAGAAGATTCCGATATAGAATAATTCTTTACTTTCGTTGTCTGTTTGTATGTTGAAAGAGTTAATCTTGAATCCTGATTAAATTTTACAATTTGTTTAGGCATGAAAATGACAATGAAATGAGTAGTTTTTTTATTGTTAAGCAATTTTCTGGATATCATCAATATACAGCAATTTAAATTTAAGACCATTGAACAACTTAAGCTGAACATGTATTTCACACCATTTTAAACAGAAATGTTAGTAATGTACATTTTACCAATAACTAAAATTATTTAGGGTGAAATGAAATCATTTGATTGCAATGGTAACTTTGTATGCTCTTTCCAAGTATCAACCATAGTTTTCTGTCAGATACAATTTTTTTATGTCTGTTTTAAAGTACTCTACGGTGATTGAAATGTTTCCTATTTCTCTTATAACTTGGGGTTCCTCAAAACTACTAGATTTTATCAGTAAAAATATAAGGATGGCCATTAACTAGTTATTATTAGCATCTCCCATAAACTAGGTATAGGATTTTTTCAGGATGTTACATATATTTCAATAACATGTACAAGTCAACAAGAAATGTGTAAGCTAAGTATTTATTTGAAATTTGGCTATAAAATCGCAACAAATATAAATGTTCATACTAGAGAATTCAATCTTAGTTATTAATACTGATACTTTTGACTCTTGATGTCGTTGAATTAGTTCAATCTGATTCATTTTCAGTTTTTATATACCCTATGCTGCTTACTGAAATTATGTAAAACAAAGTTTGGCTACTTTTGAAATCGATCAGTCATCT